TTCAGATAAGAAGGCATTATTGCTCTTGGGAGGATGGTAAATAGTTGTGAGGATGGTAGGAATTGCACCATTGATTTTTAAGTCAGTTGTTTCAAAAGAAGAATATGTAGACAAAGTTAACTGAGATACTTTCCGAATACTGGAGCATCGACCATGCCACAGAATGGTATATAGGCCTAGTAGAAAGGACGACCCAGATATAGTTCATCCGCACCGGTAGCTCAGTGATCTTTATAGTTGATCCAAGTGCCAGAGGTACCACGAAGAACAGTCAGTAACCAGCAGGCAAACCGGCAACCGCAGAAAGCATCAACACGTACCAAAACTAGCATATAAACCCGCCGAATCAGCGTGGATACACAGGTCGGAGTGGCTCCTTAAAATAGTTTAAAACAGTTCATAGATGCATCCATGCATTCATAAGTGCAGGAAGCTTTAGAAATACACAGCAGTGGCAGCTAATAGCGCCAGCGTTCACCCGGAAGATGGGAATTATGACACACACACACACACATAGGGTAACTATAAATAATGATAAATAATGATGCAGTTGAAGTACAATGTTTCTTGAATGTAAATAGCAGAAGTTAGTATAAAGTTGTCATTTTATAGGGGCTCCACTGCGGAGAATATTGTCAAAAGAATTAAAGGCAAAAAATTAAAATGTATGGCATCTCTTTTGCTGAACTTTTTTCATGGGGTCTAAGTCTCAAGGAGAATAAGGAATCTTCATCTGTGTGTCTTCTTTAATGCAAGCTGTCTTCTGAAGTACCAGTCAGCATGCCTCTATAAAGCTGACAATTGTTCACCGCTGAGTTCCTAAAACTTTGGAGCAGTGTGCTGAAGCGTGGTGAATCAGGGGAATTGTGACAGCTGTCACGGTTGTCTCTTCAGGTACAGTCGTACTTTAAGTGAAGCCCCCTGACTGTCTCAGGCAGGGAATTCCTGCTAGGATTGGTCTCATTTAAGAAGTGATGATTGAGGGGTTGTTGGTTTTTTTTGAGACACAGTGCCAGTCACACCACAAGCAGTCTAAGAATTGTGTACTAGAGAATAATACTTGCTGGCAGCTTAACCACAGCCAGTAAACAATCTGTCAGACAGGAGCCTCCAGTCATTTTATTTAGTGGACAGATATGGAGAATTTACCCACAGGCGACAAGATGATATTTGAGCTCAAGGTTTTCATCTTTCTGCGGTTAATGCTTAATTGAGCAAAATTCTGATGGGTGCGGAAGTTGCAGGTCAGGGAATGAAAAGCTAATATTTGTTCCTAACAGGGATGTGGCTTTGGTTTTCTCTAATTATCTGTTTATCTGATGGTGATTTTAACCTGGAGTCATATCATTGATTGTGTCTGAGTTCTGGAGACAATGCTGAGTAATCTGCGAATGCTGTGTGTTTATGATTGGACTACACATGAGTCTCCAAACAATTAACACTTGTGCATTCAAATATTATTATTGCATTTGGCTCAAAAGAGGTCCCATAGACAAAGAAACAACACTATTAATCCCTGGAGCAGTTTACAGCACTATGTCATTCACTGAAGTGATGACTCAATCATTGCAGCTGCTAGGTTTTAGTCAGTTTCAAATAAACCCCTTTGCTCTTAGTTACAGACACAAAGCAAGGCACTGGGCTGAAAGCTGCCAGTCAGCAAAAATAACAGAGGCAGCTGGTATTACTTTGTTGTCACTTGTGTTTTTATCATCTGAAGAAACTCATATTCAAGTCATGTTTCAGCCCAAGAATGGATGTAAACCCATCTGCTGATCCTGATATTTGTTTCATTAGAGGTCATATTCAAATGTGTTCTTCCGATATATTAGCTATATTAGGTTAATGCTTATACTAATACTAGTAATACAGGTTACAGGGCTAGAGGTGGGATACTACATAGGTAGTAAATGACAAATATGTTCCTCAGTCATAAAGAATGATAGTTTAGAAGATTTTGTCTAGGAAGACTGTCCATATGCTAAGTGAGTTTGACGTATCGTCCGCCTTTATAAAACATGTGTCCAATTCAGCAACTGCGGAAGAAAGTTGAGCATCAGCAGGAAATGGCGGGAGGAACAGGAGTGTGTTGTAATAGCCATGGTATGCTGTAATGTAATCCTGTTGCATGCTTGTTTAACACCTTCACAACCGTTGTTTCCTAAAGGAAATACTGCCTTTCCATTCAAGTAATGGAAACACAGGCTCTATGTTAAGGGCTGATTGATTTTAAATATGGACTAAAGCACTCACAGGGGCACCAAAGAATCACAGTTACTTTGCATGACAATCTATGCAGACAATGCTGTCAGGGTGGAGAGGCCTGTGACTTGAGAACTGGCCAAATTGGCCAGTGTGACTAATTGGTGTCACTGTAGAATCTATCTGACAGATCCACATCAGTGATCAACAGATGAGCATTCGATTGATGAAGTTGCGTAATATGACATTTTGACCAAATGTGTACATACCTGAGATGTTATACAGGCTGGCTTGATAAGTACTGGCTGGCTGCTCAGTTATAATCGTCGAGTGTGCATCTGTTAGAATGCACTCCCTATGTTCAACCAAGACTTTTGTAAATGATGATTCCTGAGACAGTTGATCAATTTACTGCAGTCTAATAAAATATAAACATTGTGTGTGTGTGTGTGTGTGTGTGTGTGTGTGTGTGTGGTTTTGAAAGATAAAACCTATACAAGGTAGCCATTAATAACATTTCACTACTACTAAATGCAATAGCATTCTATAGCCACAGATATCAACTACAACTTGACTACAACACATGCATACAGTTCGCTAAACTGTATGCATCATTTGCAACATTACACTTAAATTACTGACGTAAGAAACTGTCAGAAGTATAAGCATATGTAATTTTGGACCATTTGGTGCCATTCCCGTTGATAAATGATGCATTTAACTACTATTCATTTAAAGCTGTAATTACAGAATCATCATCAACTGCGCAATAACGGTGCAGATTACACGACTTTCAGCGTCGGCCAATCGGCGTGCTGTTCAGACTACACAACTTGCCGTCTTGTAACGGGGGTCTTGAAGTCGTTGTGGCGTTATGTGACTGATTGTTTACCGGGGGTCACACACTACACAAGCTGATAATGGTTGCATCACCCGACGGCTGGTCTCCAAACCATGTTTTGTCAAGAAAACACAGATGAAATGTGAAACGGGAAATGACGCAAACCTACACACGAAACAGCTGTTGTTTGTTATTATAAAGATAGCAATTATAAAGACAGAGAATATGGGTGAAAGAAAGTATTAGCACACGCAGGTAGCAGGGATTGTCTGAGCTACAAAGAGAGCTGGAGCTGAGTAAAAAGTGTTTTGCAGTGAAAAAGTAGCTGCCTGCTCTGTCAGCTGCCTTCTCTCATTGGCTGGATGTGAATGCTAAGTCGGCCTACTCCTCCAGATATTTGGCATGCTAGATATCTGGCTGGCGTCGGCGATGCGTCAGCGATGTTTTGATGCGTCGTTGAGTAGTTCGCACATAATGACTGGCAACCTCTGATCGATCACTGATTTACCCATGATCCCAGCCTGATGGTCGCCGAGCTCACTGACCAGCAAAACGGGCTTAAATTTGTGTAATGTGAAGTAGGCTTAAGTAAACATCACAAGTTACATTTCTCTGGACACACACACAAGAATGAAAGATATGCAAGCAAACGGTGGATCAACTGTGAATGGAGTAGCAACATAAACTTAACAGACAAACTTAGCCTGTATTCGGAACTGCCTACTACATACTACCGGTGACCGCAGTATGCAGTATGGACTACAGACTGCAAATTGCTTTTCATAGTAGTATGCAGTATGAAACTGTTAAATCGAGTTATTTTGCAGTATGCTAAGTCAGGCTTAGCCGGTTTCCAGTTTTGGAAAGTGAAAGTAAACAAAAGGAACAAAATAATACCACTTATGACGTTTTTTTCTGCTTTAATCTTGTGGAAGGAGAACGAGGCTGCAGCCTATCTGTAACAAACACTGATAATTTTACAAAGCAGATGTTTTACAAAAGTGCATTTTTCCCAGGCAGGGCTTAATAAATGACTGCAAAAATAACCCGCACCTGCTCTGACCTGCTGTGAATTTTACATCACTTTCTCTCCAGGACCACAAAGTGAAATGCATATGTCATTGTTATCAATACATATTTGATTATTGACCTTTAGTCAATAATCTGCATACACTTCTTGAAAGTTACATTTATGGCTTTTTATTCTTTTTTTGTCATTAAGTGTCATAATATAAGTATTTCCTATGTTGCATTGTATCATTTTGATTTCTTCAGTAAGGAAACTGTACAAGCATAATTATACTTGATTGTTGGTCCATATGCTTGCAAAGTTAATTTTAAACTGTTCGCAAAATGTTCTTAAGTGGTTACCTAGCTTAAATGATAGGTGTGGTGATATTTTCAATTTCACTTCAATAAATGCCATTAAAAAAAAATAAAAAAAACATACTGCCCATTGTTCAAAACCTAAAATTATATGCCTGAATATTCTCTTCTATGCCAATTATTAAACTATTGAAAACACATCAATCAGACACACTGTTGAATTGTGTAATTTAAATTGTTAATTTATTTCCCACAGATACCATACCACTAGAGCATTAAATGTGTTGTGATCCACAGCTGAAAACAGTCCACAATAAAAGCACAATGTCTGAGTGAAGTTTTCTTAACACACAGTGCCCAGCTGCATTATTAAAATGAAACTATATATTTGTGAGCCATTTCTAATCATTTCATTTTTAATATGCACATGGACTCAGGATTACTTGCTTTGGACCCTTAAAAAACCTTGGCGCGGCCATGGGGACTGTCGGTCTCCATCTCACAGTGGACATACCAACATATCGATATCTCTCTCTCTCTCTCTCTCTCTCTCTCTGAATTAAATCTACGATTTTATCAGCAGGTGTCAGGACTTTGTTAAACGGAGGACTTTGGGTTAATAATCTAAACGTGAAGCGCTTTATATAAACGAGGTATTTTGGAGCGACGGAGCTTTTACAACGGCCGAAGAACCACTCACGTGTGTGCATGTTAGTGAGCTGCACATTTACCGGCCGATTAGTGCATCGTTTCTTGAAATGACATCGTGGGTGTGATTCCTTCACTTGAGAGGTGAGCTGAAGCTGCCTCTTTGCTTATGTTGCAGTCACAAATGGACAAATAGCAAACACCAAACATTAGCAGAAATTATTTCATAAGTTTAATGCAGATGCAGCTTGCTTTGCATGTTCAAGTATAAATGTGTGGGTGTGATTGACAAAGTGAATCTGTCGTGTCTACTCCATGTGAGGTGTAGCTACTTAATAAGGCTCTGAGGTAATAGTGGGTGGTGACTAATTACTGGATCAGGAATAGAGGGCATTAACCTACTGTTAAAAGGAAGACCGTGCTTCCTGGACGCAAATCACAACTATGGGTCAAAACTTCAATGTTTTTAATCTGAGAGTTGGTCTGCGCAAGTTCTAAAGGCGTCCTTTACTGTTACTCCAGGCACAATATGGATGGATGGATGGATGATGCATGAATTGTACTGGCTGCAATGATATTTGGAAACCATAAAGAAACATTCCTTTATTTTAAACAAATACATATGAGCACGTTCAGTTCTACAGTATGAATGCATAGAGGTTTCTTTTTAAAATAAATTAGGCATAACTGCTAACAACCCCATATATGAACAAATTTTCAAATAGAAATGGCTTGCTTGACCACATTCACTGGTAATATCTAATGTTTAACAGTGATTAAAATGTGGAAACAGTCAACACAGTAGAGCTCAATGTGGAACAATTGACACCCAATGCAGAAACATACACAACATTAGACGGATATCCGTGAATCTATTGCTCCAGTGCATGCTGGGAGGGTTCCCAACACACCTACTTCACGTAACTGTAATCTCATGATCCCCAGCCACGCAATCATATTAATGTTAATCATGGTTTCAGCTTCTACTCATTTTGTCTTTATTTCAAAATAAGAGGGCCCTGTTAACAAAGCTATCATCAAACTGCTTTTAAAGAACCAAATTAGATAGATGAGAATAAACCGTATTATTTTGGCCACATTTGAAGAACAGGGCCCAGCTCTCTGACACACCAAAACACACAGTTCTGACAATACTACTGATTCATTGATATCCTGAACTGCATCAATCAAAATGTGAACTGAGTGTCTAATTCATGATAGTGACATTGATAATAATACCTTACATTTAAGTAATTTGTTGACAGATTGGAGATGAGAATGTTTCTTGAAAAACATTAAAGCTGTTGAATTCAGTAGAAAATGAATTCAATGGGAAATATATGTGTGCATGTGTACCAAGTGTCTAAAACTATGTTTCTGATTTTAGCGTAATCCCATTCTGGCTATTTTGAATTTCACTTTAAAAATGTACATGGATTGGCAGGAGGAACAGGAGTGTGTTGTAATAGCCATGGTATGCTGTATAATCCTGTTGCATGCTTGTTTATTACCTTCACAACCGTTGGATTGGTTCGTATCAGAAAACAGTTCAAGTATATTTTTTTATGCTTCATATAAAGTCACTAGGAATTCATGTTGGTAAACCTGATCCCTTGGCTGGCCTTTCATTTTGGGTTGTAGTAGTCTATAAATATCTTTCATATGCAACACACAGATCTCATCCTGGGATACAATCAATGGAGCAGGATCCTCAGTGGTCATAATCATAAATAATTCAACCACTATGTCTCTTAACATCCCATCTCATCTTATAATAGATCAGGTTCATCCCTGTGAAATGCCATAAGTCGTTGTTTGTTTGCGGAGCGGTGCAAATGGTTCTATTGTCATAGTAATCGCTGCAACCAGATTCGTTATATGAAACAAGTCCAGACCCTCCACTCCAGTCTGTCTGATATCACATAACAGCAGAGTGCTTGTAGCCATTATCCACAAGTCGAGTCAGGATAGCTGAGCCTGTCTCTAATGGAGTATACACTGGTGCAGAGCCCAGAGATATAAACATTTCTTTTGATTTATAACTTCGGGTGAGTTAAAAAGGCAGTGTGTGTGTGTGTGTGTGTGTGTGTGTATCCAAAATTTCCATATTTGTTGAGACACCTAGTGGTTAGGTTCAAGTAAATGATCACGGGAAGGGGGAACGTTTCTCGGTGCTCAACTGAGTTTGATGATTTTATGGCATCACAACTTGTTTGTAAGCCAATTGAAGTCCAGTGTGCAAATTTCACAGTGTATTGTGAAATCTTGAAGCCTCCAGCACACATACACTGAAAATGGACTTTTCAGTGAAAAAGGAGGCATCTTGTATCTAGTAGTTAAACTTTTGAAATGAACAATATTTGTGTGTTCAAAGATTCAGGATTGATGAGGGAAAAGAAGTAGATGGGTTGATAGATAAAGAGATCAGATTAGCAATGCATGATGATATCTCTTTGTGTTGGACAGTTTGACTCCATGATTTTAACAATGAAAGTTTTGCAGCTTGAGGGACTTCGGCTACTAACTACAGGACATTTTAATATTTGAACAGGGGGAGACAGAGAGCGGATGACAGCCAACCATGAGACCTACCTTCTTATGGCTAACACCCAGAATGACATGGAGGATTGGGTGAAGACGATCCGCAGGGTCATCTGGGCTCCATTTGGTGGAGGTCAGTATCCACACAGCCACTGTTTGTATTAACTGAATAGCTTGTTATTAACTTGCTGATGTGACTGAGATTTGTATAACCAGTTTGCTGTTTATTTGGATGAGTTTCCAGTAGCCGCACCGCAGGATGGAGAAGTGTGTGTATTTTCAATCTCTGAGCAAGCTACCATCTCTGCTAAGGTTTTTTTGAGCAAGACACAACCCCATAAATCTGCTGACTGATCCAGCTGACAAAATGCATTGCTTGTCTGCAGAGACTGTGTTTAACTAAGGGCTGAAAGCACAAACTTCAGCTTTTGCCTTGTGAACAATGATTATAATATTGCCTTAATCCATTTTGTTCTGCATGATTGAGACAGGACTTTCCAGGTACAATATAGCTATTCTGTAATATTGTGATTTAATATTATGTTTTACTTTTTTAAAAGGAGGACTATAATGAATAGATGACTGCACTATTCCACAATACCTTTTATCATGACTTTTACCGTACTGTATCTTCAAAGTTTCTTCTAAAACAAACATGTTTCCCGAGTCTGTTGGAAGGTTAAAGCATCAGCTTGCCTCCTTTTTGCCTCCTCCATGAGTAACTCCATATGGTGGTGTCCTGTCACATATTGGTTACATTACTACAATACCTCACCATGATGAGATGTAGAAACAGCTTTAGGAATATTTGCCTTGTCTTGTTTCAGTTGTTTCAACTACTTGAATCTCTCATGTTTGTGTCATCATCCTGCATGTTTTTCCCCCACTATCTATCCAGCTGCTCATGCTAATAAACAAAGCAATGTATTGTGTTAAAATCAATTACTGTAGATGAAATAGGCAACATGTAATCATCAAATGAACCGTGATTCATAGTGGAAGTTGTTCTCATGGAGTTATTCCTGACCTTTGTGGGAGTTTCCCGCTGCGCTGCCACAGCCTTTTATTGACTTTACTTGCAGACATTGGCCTACATTGTGTATGAGCGGGGCACAAGTGCGGCGCTTGTAACCGGACAGGCAGTTTGGGCCGCTCTCGGTGACACAGTGAATAGATGAGGCTGGCCTGGCCCCTCTGTTTTCAGTGCTGGGAGTTTGATGTCTATTGCAGTTGACTGCTCTTCAAAAGGACGAGCCATTTGTCAAAGATGCCACAAGAAAGGTGGCTCCAAGTTGGAGCGGAGCCGGTCTGTCACACACACACACACACACACACATATACGTATATATATAAAGAGCACACACACATATTCCAGGCTTTCACGTTTTGCAGTAGCAGCAGAGACTAACGGAGCCCTGATTGGCTGGTCAGTGCCTCTGAAGTGTGATTAAAAATTCTGTTCAGAGACTGACAGGCAGCGAGGGAGCTCCCAAAGAGAAGCCCCTGTGTTTGACCCACAGAAGAGCTCGGAGCCACTGATGGTTTGCTGTCATGTTGTGCTCAACACTTGCTATGACGTTGAATTAATTACCGGCCAGCTTGAACAAACCGTTGGACAAGAGAGAGTTCAAAGTCAGACCTTCGAGAAATGTGCAGCTGTGGCCTCTCCATCTGGATCTTTGGAGATTTATTTCATGGTAATTACCAAATGTTTATTTGCAATTTGGGAAAGAATTTGAACTGCTGAAGTTGTTGAAATAATTCTATGTGGACAATATTATTTTAAACCATTCATATTAAAACACTACAGTGGCACATACTGTGTATATTTATGTTTTTTCTATTTACAGCCATGTGTCATGTCTGTTTCAGTCTAGTTTCAACAGCATTTGACAGCGAACAACCTAATTTACAGTTATTATTTAGTTTAGTGTAACACCATAGATGAAGTTACTTAATAGTAAAATGTGACGTTTACTTGCCCTATGGTTGTGGATTGGAGTCACCAGACCTAGAAGACACAGAAGCTTAGAAAAGTTCTTTAGTCTATCAAGGTTTGTCAAACAGGTGTTAAGTTCAGATGTTAGTTAAGGGACATAAGCTCATATAGTCATTACCTGCAATTTATATTCTGCCTCTGAAACAGTCTGTGAGCTGTGATTTCACCCTGGTTGAACTGATCTGAGAAGTTATCAGTTTCTTAATTATTATGTTTACATCATGAATTTAAAAAGAGACCCACCCATAGTGATTTCCTGTCTTTTTAACATTATAAAATGCTATTTCCCAGGTATGATATACAGTAGCTGTCTATGAATATGATAATAATTAATAATGAAAATCTCCTTATAAATATTCAAACTTCCTAAGCACCTAAGCCTTATAGTGCCATGGCTTTATTTAACTTTTGAGTTATTTGAATAACGCCTGTGTGCACTATTGTATTGTCAAATATTTGTCATCTTTTGAGTGACATGTCCTCACATGTTGCAGGGTATAATTAATTTAAAATACAAAATGATCTAGTATCTGTTGTAGTACATTTTCAGTACAAAAAACTAGTGATACAGTATGCAGCTGGGAGCCTTTGAGGAGAGCTTGAGTTTGCTTAATTTAATGTTTGAACATTGTTTAAAGCCTTCCTCTAACTCAGCGTAGTAACATAAACTCACACCAAGCTCTAATGTCAACTTCTTTCCTCCCCCGTACGCTCATTCATCCCTTCGCCTTCTGACATACTATGTAGAGAGTTCTCAATATTAAATATTTCTGCATGAGACATGCAGTATAAAACACAGTTGAAGCTGTTTAGTTTCACCATATATGTCTATGAATATGTAACATTAGCATTTAGTGAAGTAAGGGGGGGTTAAAAGAGGATTAGTAAGAAGAGATGGGTGTGAGATGTGTGTTATATCTAATATCTTCTGTCCCTCTGCGTGTGCGTGTGTGTGTGCGTGTGCGTGTGGTGTGAGACTGAGAGAGAGTGTTGAGGGAACCTGCTGAGTAGGTACAGCAAACATATACAGTAAACACGCACACACTCTTCATAAGCTGGTCCACACACACAGTTACATGTGACCCCGGGAAAAAATTCCTAGACTCATGACCAGAATGTCTGGAGGGATGACCTCGTTTTCATCCAGTCATTTTTCCTCATTTGTTCTCTGTTGCTCTTTTTGATACATGAGTATATTCAATCATTCTGTACTCTGGGGGAGCTTGACTTATCTATATTTCACTGTGACTCGTCTGAGATTTGGAATTTGGATTTCATGCATCTGTTTTATTTCTGCATTGTTGTTGTTGTTTTTGCTTCCTGTCATAACTACAAAAACAGGGGTTGTTTTTGGAAAATGCTAGATTGCAGGCACTTTAAATTCTGCAACTCTGGTTTGTTATCTTATTTATTTTGTAATCGGTGTATCTTTCGGAAGCTTACAAGTTGTGTCAGTTTCAAGAGGGGTGAGTATGACAACATACAATGATATTATTAGTGAAAAGGCAAGCAATAAACTACAATTGTGTTCACATTAACACCGGTTGTTTTTAAGTGATTTGTTGCTGTGTCATGCTGTCAAAAGCACGAGGATCCTGGTAAGCTTAAGTTTAATTTAGTCACTGTACGGTACTTCATTGTACCACGTGTATGCATGTGTGTGAGTAGCCTCTGTCTGTATCTGGAGACCGGAAAAGTATGTAGATCCAAATCTCTCAGGAAGGCTGCCTTAATCCCCTCTTGTGTTGCATCCACATGAGACGGCTGCAAATGGAAATCAGTCCCTTTTTTTCGGACAAAAGGCGAGAGGTGCTCAGCAGGAAGTTAGAGATTTGATCATCAGACTAAGGCTTTGTGGGTGTTTTTTGCTTGGACTGTCTAGCCGGCCTCATCTGAATTTTTTTTCAATCGATTTAACTGCTGTCTTTGATGTGCCTTAAGCCACGGATGCTAGGCTAATGTTTTTTTACTCTTTGAAAAATGCTCCTTTTACTTTGGGAGAGAAAGTTAAATAGTGCAAGATGATGACAGTGTGTGTGTGTGGTGTGTGTGTGTGTGTGTGTGTGTGTGTGTGTGTATTTGTATGACTGAACAATCATTTTTTGTAATTTCAGAATCATGGCCTAAATAATTTATCTGTGATAAAAACATTATTAAACACTGAAACACATCTCTCAGCTTCCTTTGATAATGTTGAACTAACTCACTGCACACTGTGGTTAACTGCGTATTCTCCTATTATTAATGACTGCTTTACAATATGATAAAAGCTTTGGCTTTGCTTATGATAAATGTTCAAATATAGGGTAAAAACTGAATCGCTCAATGCTGCTGCCATTTATCAATGTCATACCATCATAAAACATTTTGCCTTGTGCTTCAGGGATCTTTGGTCAGAAGTTGGAGGAAACTGTGCGGTTTGAACGCCGGTTTGGGAACAAGCTGGCTCCTATGCTGGTAGAGCAATGTGTGGATTTCATTCGGCAGTGGGGCCTTCAGGAGGAGGGCCTATTCAGGCTGCCAGGACAGGCCAACCTGGTCAAAGAGCTGCAGGATGCCTTCGACTGTGGAGAAAAACCCTCCTTTGATTGGTAAGGAAACACATCAGGGTACTGGCTACTTGGATTTCCTCAGTGCATTTTAATGTGAAGTTGATATGTTTAGACTGTTGACTGCACCTCTGGAACCACATGGGTGCTCCTGTTGGCCTGGAACAAATGGGCGAACCCCCAGAAGTTTACAAAAACACAAAGGTGGGTGAGTGGGTATAAGATTCAGTTGCATCCAGAGATTTGAATGATGGATTTCAATACCTGTTTTGCACTGGAAATCTAAACAAAGACATTTAGAAGGATCCTTTGTGACAAACCAAGGAACCTTTAGGAAAACTCAGCCTGAATTTAAATGTGGCTAAACAAGACTAACTAACACAAAGGGGATTATTATTATTTTGAAAGTCCGTTGCTCACTGGTTCTGAATACACATACAGTCAAACCATGGGTCAGGAGGGATGGGATGTTGATCAGCCTGCAAATCACCCACCCAAACAAGCAGTGGAGGGAGGCTTCAGCAGACTAGGCTACGCTGGATGCAGCGTGTGGGAGAAGTAGATAAACAAAAGCCATGCGAATTCCCTCCTGTTGTCCTATTTAGTAAACTGTAATAGATTATGGAAACTCACAAACAGCGAGGATCAGTCTCTCTTCCAATGATTTGTGCTGTGCGTCGCGTACAAAAGTTCAAGACAATTCAACTTTGTCAGCGGGTGGGCATGTGCGTGAGGCGAGCACTTCATCTCACTCTAACAGGAACACTTGCTACGAACATAGACTGTTTCTGCTGCTCCCTGATAAAAGAAAATGTTTCTGCTGATTCCTGCTCAGAAAAAAAAACAAGAACACAGATATTTTAACCTGTTGCTCAGAAGGTGCCTGTTATGACGTGGCTCTGGACTCTCTGGACAACTTGTTTTAAGAAAGTGTAAAAGGTAACGCCCTGGCATTGGGAAATAATATGAGATTTACAAGAAATATTTTATTGCTACTGTGTAAAGGGAATACTGCTGGTGTTTGCAAATCACATGTTATTGCACTTTTGTGTAAATAGCAGTACATTTAAATTAAAAGTGCGCAATACACTACTTTAGAATTCAATTCTTTAGAAATGGGTGCCCAGCACTAAATGTAATACATAAATACATATCTTAGCAAAGGATGAATGTTTGGTTTCATTGTCAGATTTACATGCATTTTCTTGTGACTGTGTTGTGCGCCACTTAAAAATTAACAGCTATCATTGATTTTGAACTTTATAATCTGTCTATGTTCATTTTAATACTAATGTTCTTCTTTTGAACACATCTGTGCAGTAATTAACTGGCAGATAGTAAAGGAGGTTTTGCTTTTACCACACTGAGGGGTAACAGCTGGTAAATTGGAGGAACAGGTTTTTTATGTGAAAGTAAATGAAATGTTACTCAGATTTATTGTCATTCGTTGCCATTACCTCATCAGTGCAGTGCAGCATTGTAAACACAGCAGTACAAAATGGTGATCTAATGTCTTTAGCAGGCAAAGAACGGGTGTGATTAATTGGGTTAATAAGTAAATGCGTTCCATTTGTGTTGCTTGCTGATTCACTGAGACACATGAAATGGATCTGCTTTTAATGCTAAATTACTAAACAAAATCATCTCTATTAAAAGTATATCTTAAATGTAGCTTTTCTGAATTGATCTAGCGTGCTGACTGTCAGAGACATATATTTGTACCATCAACCCCTGTCACATAACTGTCCAAAAAGAATGCCTCATTTGTGAGGGGCACTAAATAAAAATGAATAGTGAAGGTTTGCTATTGGTCAACAGTGTGAAACGTGAAAAATTACTTTTGTTTCACCCTTGCGTGCAAATTTACTGCTAGTCGAAATTCCATTGAAAGGAATTGATTTTGTCACATAATACCTCTATTTTAAATGCTGGGGTGAACAGCCATTTAGGGCAGGACAAGTTATAGCTGAGCAGATCACTAATCCATAGACTATATTAAACATGGACATAGTCTCCATGATGTCACCCACAGGTTTCTGAAGAGCACAAAATCCAGCAACGCCATCTTGGCAGTGCCTGATTTGCCTAACTCCTGCCTAATTCAAAAATGGAAAGACTGAAGTGAAGCGTGGTCAGAGCTAGCAAAGAGCTAGTGCCTTGCCACCTAGCAGCTAGGCACCTGTGACAGCACACATCTGTCACTCAAACCAGCCACGCCCTTAATTATGCATAACTTTAAGCCTTAATATCATTTAAACAAGTGATATAAAAATAAAAATGAATGGGGAAAGTAGCTATAGAAACCCAAACCTTTTCTTGTATAAGACTTTAACATGTTTATTTCTACTGTAAAGTTGGCCATTTTAAAACACTCCACAATCTTGCAGCTACATTGCAGTTACAATCTGCCTTCTATTGATAGGGTGTGTAAGTGGCTGTCCTAAGAGACTGAGATCTGTTTTTTAATGTGACAACCTTCGTCAATAACTCAGGATGACATGCATGAGTGATGGAACATACCAAATCCACATATCTTTTTCTCTGCCCTCTTTCACACCATCCGCCACTCGTACCATCTACTCTGTCTCTAGCCTCCGTCTGCCTGCTTCACCAGCTGCCCCTCGTCGGCTCGTTAGTGTCTCTGATCCTACAGTGGAATCCTCTTGCCTTTTGGCAGATCATCTAAGCTTTCCCAGTGTTGTTGTTGTTCCCTCTCTTGCTTTTGTTGTTACCTATCTGTCATTCTGTTGCTTTGAAATTTGCTCTTAAACAATAAAAACTACAGCCAACTGCCTGTTAGCTTAGTTAGTTTAGCTAAGTAAGTTGTACGCTGTATAAACTTTTTGTTTTATAACATATTAATTAGGGAGCTGTAGAGGTTCTGGTTGGTCGATTTTGTTAGCATTGGATGGATCAGGCTAGCTGTTTCCCCTGTTTCCAGTCTTTGTGCTAAAATAAGCTAATGGCAATCTGCAGAATTTTTCTTCTGATTCCACCCATCCAGCCAACAGTCCTCTTGCTGCAGGAATATTCATGAGGATTTGTT